AAGAAAGTTCTAAAACCTAATCTTCTACCTCAGCAAGCTAGGTAAAGTAAATTAAGCCTAAAATAAATAGAAAAAAATGTAATAATAAAAACTACAGTAGAAAACAATGAAATCAATGGAGAAAAGTAAATAAAACCAAGTTGTTTTCTTAAAACGAACAAACAAAATCCATACATAGAGCCTCACTAACCAAGGAAAAAGTAGATAAATGGCTGATGTGATAAATGAAAAAGGAGTCATCACTATCACTATGGAGCCCATGAAAAGAATAATAAAAGAATATTATAAACAATGTTATGGCTACAAATTTGATAGCTTAGATGAAATGGACCATTTCCTTAAGCCAACCCTCACAGTGGGATAATTCAATAACCTGAATATCTCTCTATCTATTAAAGAAATCGAATCAATAGTTTATTAACTTCCAAAACAATAGAGCACCAGACCTATGCAATTTCACTGGTGAATTCCACTAACTGTTTAAAGAAAAAATAATACAAGGTCTTCACAATATTTTACAGAAAATAGAAGCAGAGGGAACACTTCCTATCCCATTCTATAAGTTCAGAATTATCCTAATACCAATCCAGATAAACTGATATAAAGAAATGAATGAATAAATAAGTGAGAGAGAAGAGTCAGATATTCTGAGAAAATTCCAAAGAATTATGGAGCAATTGTACCCTCAGGGAGGTGGCACGTAACTCTCCACTCCCTAAGTGCTGGCTGTTCACAGTCCTTTCATTCCAAAAAGAACACTATGGAAAGAGAGGGTGTGGGGAACAAACAGCTTTACAGTGGAGAAATCTGACATATGTTACCTCAGCCAAGTGATTGAGATCAACATCGACAGTGATGACATGTTGATTGTATATATATCCTTGATGTGATATGAGAGGGGCACTTCTTCTCTGTGGTTTTCCTCCTCAAACCCATAACTGTAGTCACAAAGAACAAGTCAGACAAGCCCAACTGAGGCACATTCTACTAAATACCTAGCCAGTACTCCTCAAAATTGTCATGGCCATCAGAAACATGGGAAGTCTGAGAAACTGTCACAGCCAAAGAAGCCTAAGGGGACCTGTTAATTAAATGCAATGTGATACCCTGGATGGGATCCTAGGACAGAAAAAAGGCATAGAGTCAAAACTAGGACATCTGAATAAACCATAGACTTTATTAATTGTATAAGTGTTGGTTCATTAATTGCGATAAGTGTACCATAATTAATATAAGATATTTGCAACGAGGAAAATGAGATATGAGGTATATAGGTACTCTCTATGCCATCTTTGAACTTTTCTGTAAATCTAATACTATTCTAAAACAAAAAGGTCATTAAAATAAATTAATGGGGATATGTTGAAAGCTTTCTCTCAAAAACCAGGTTGCCTACTATCTATCTCCATTTTTATTCAAAATCATATTGGAAATCTTAACCTGTGAAATGAAATATAAAAAAGGAATAAAATATATAAGAATTGGAAAGTAAGAAAAAAAAGAATGTTTCTATACATAAAAAATGCCAACTCTAGAAATTAACTTTTAGAATTATCAGTCATTGAAACTAAATTCATTCTTCACAAATCAATTTTATTTTTATTCTTATAAACCAACTATAAACAGTTCAAGAATTTGTCATATTATTGAAAGATATTAAGACCTAAACTAATGCTAGATATACCACATCAATATTTTTGAAGACTGGGTGTTTTCAATTCTCCTCAAATTAATCTATGAATTCAATGTAATTCCAATAAAAGTTCCAGCAGGTGTGTTTGTGAAAATTGAGATGTCAATGCTAAGATGTATATGGAAATGAAAAGGAACAAGGATGGCTATAACAAACTTGAAAAAGAATTACAAAATGAGAGGATTTGATTTTCCTGAAAAGATTTATGATAAAGCTACATTAGTTAAGACAGGTAAGAATGGGTCCAAGTATAGACACATAGGCTAATGGAAGGAAAGAGAAAGTGGAAACAGACCCATTTTTTAATGCTTATTTATTTTGAGAAAGAGAGAGAACAGGGGAAGGGCCGAGAGAGAGAGAGAGAGAGAGAATCCCAAGCAGGCTCCGTGCTGTCAGCATAGAGCTATACATGGGGCCAGAACTCATGAACTGTGAGATCTGAGCTGAGCCAAAACCAAGAGTCAGACGCTTAACCCACTGAGCCACCCAAGAGCCCCAAAACAGACCCACTCTCATATGGGTACTTGAATTAAGATCAAGGAGGTGAATATTTCTGAGTCAGTTGGTTATTTGTGTGGGGAAACAAATACCTACTTGATACTTACTTTCAATGTTTTCTTTAGAATAGGCCTGCTGATTAGAGTAGCTTTTTAAAAAAATGTTTATTTTTGAGAGAGAGTGCACGCAAGGAGGAAAGGGGTAGAGAGAGAGGAAGACACAGAAGCTGAAGAAAGCTCCAGGCTCTGAGCTGTCAGCATAGAGTCTGAGGTGAGGCTCAAACCCATGAACAATGAGATCATGATCTAAGCTGAAGTCAGAGGCTTAATGGACTGAGTTACCCAGGTGCCTCTGATTAGTGTAGTTTTTATTCTTCATTCAATGGTCACTTACTACGTGGCATTTTCCTATAATTTTCTTTGTAAAATCTGTACCAATCTGAAATTCTCATTTATTTGATTGCTTTTTAATATTTTACTTTGCTTCCACTACAAGATAAAGTCCTTGAGAGTAAGAATCTTATCCATTTTGTTGATGAGTCATTTATGCAGTCACAAGTCTCAGATTACTTGTATTATTTTTGCTTCATTTTATAGATGAAAAACACTTGCTTCCACAGTGAAATATCAGCCCAGGATTCTGAAGACTTATCCATTTGCCTAACCCAACTCTCAGCCTTTTCCAGTTTGGGGCTCCATGAGCAGATGTTATTCAGCACTTATTTCATTACTTGGTATTATTTTTAAGTCACTAGTTCTGTAAGTCAAGCTCACGCCATGCTCATCTAGGTTTTTTTTTTTTGTTTGTTTGTTTGTTCTTAAATATAGCTTCCTGGGCTCTCCTTCTGAAAGATTAAAACAGAATGTCTCGGTAAGGTTGCTAGCTAGCTCCCCGATGTCTTAGTTTGGGCTGATACAACAAATTACTATAATAATTACTCTAACATTAACCTAGAGTCAGTGGCTTAACAACAAACATTTCTCACAGTTCTGGAATCTAAGTCCAAGTCCAAGGTGTCAGCAGATTCAGTTTCTGGTGAGATCCACTTCCTGGTTTACAGACCTCTGTTTCCTTTGTGTCCTCACTGGGTGGAAGGGGAGAGAGCTTTCTGAAGTCTCTTTTATAAAGGCACGAATCTCGTTCATGAGGGCTCTACCTGCATGAGCTAATCACCTCTGGCCCACCTCCCAACACCATTATATTGGGGGTTAGGATTTCAACATACAGATTTTGGGGATCACAACTTAATCCATAACTTCAGGTGAACCAAATGCAGAGCAAACGTGGTAACTACTAAGTTCTCATCTAAACCCATGCTAACGAAAGTGTGGTCCACTCAAACCATTCACATCACCGGGGAACTTATCTGAAATTCTGAATCTCAGCCCTCACCCCACATATACTGAATCAGAATCTGCTTTCATAAGATCCTAGATGATTCATATGAACTTTTAAGTTTGAGAAGCATGCACCGATCTAAAGCACCGTGCTCCTAGACTTGAGGCATCACTATCACCTGGGAACTTGTTCCAATGTAAATTAGCTGGCTGCACCCCAGTTCTGGGGGATCAGAACCCCTCTGGGGGTAGGCATAGTCATTTGTCTTAACAAACTCTTAACACTCAAGTTTGAGAAGCATTGGATTCAAGCCATTATCCTGCTTTTAGTTGTGACCATTTTTAACTTTAAGCCGTTTGCCGCCTCTGATTTTTAGCACCATGATTCTATTTCTAATGTCAGTGGGAACCTAGGAGAGTCAGAGGAGGAACCTGTAAAAATCTATGGCGATATGTATGTATGAAACAATATGCTCCACTTATGGCAATAATACAGGATTTCCTCTTTCCTCAAGCTGGAGACATATTGGAAAGACTTTCTACTTGGGTGAACAAAAAAGCCATATGCTGGCAGGCCATAAAACTTGTTTAAAGACATATCTATGCGTTTTCAATAGCTATTTTAGTAAAGGTTTTACTCCCACCTTGATATCTAAATTTTAAAACGCCTCCACCTCTGAAAAACATTTTTCAAAGATTGTCAGATTATAGCAGAGTGAACAGCCTCTTTAGTTTATTTAAGGATGCTGCCAGAGTATTTATTATCAGCTCCAGGTGTTTCTAAATATTACGGGGCGAGGGCATCCCTAGATTTTATCAACTGCAAGGCAAGGCTTCCTATCTTTGTTTGTTTGTTTTTAAATAAAAGTCCTCAAAACCACCTCTTACTTTTTCAATCAATTCCCGGGGCTTATCTCACAGCCTCTAGTAGCTGAAGGCTTAGATAAGATTGCTTTACAGATCCTACGTCGTCTTCTTCAGACCCCCGCCTTTATTTAAATACTAAAGCGCTATCAGCCCTTTGCCAAGTTCAGAGTCGACCTGACATTCCCTTTCCAAAGTGGCCGCTGGAGAGAAATCGAAGGCGGATCTCCAGGTGTTAAGCCCTCCCGGGGTCTTGGCTGGAAGGAGGTTTAACCTCAGGCCAGCGCCGCGCCCCTGGACCCCGGCCCTCCGCGCCCGGACCCAGGCTCGGTGGTCGCAGCCCTTTTTCAGGCCCAACCTCGAACCGCCCGGGTGCCCGCAGCTCCGAGCCGGCTCCCGAGGGCCAGCAGGGGGCGACCGGGCTCCGCGCGCCCCGGCGAGGCGGGGACCCGGAGAGAGGAAGTTCCCGACTCCGGCCCGCCCGCCCGTGCGTCCCGAGCGCAGGCCGCGGCTGGAAGCGGCCTCCCCGCCGGGTCCTCCCCCGCCGGGTCCTCCCCCGCCGGCCAGTCCCCGGCCCTCTCCCCGCCCCGCGGCGGCGGTTCCGGGTCCTGTGACCCGCCTGGCGGTGGCGCGGGCGGAGGGCGGCCGGCCTCCCGGACATTGCGACGGCCGACGGGGGCTCCGCGGGCGCGCGGGGAGGACGCGGCTGGGCGGCGACCCCGGCGCGGAGCCCGAGTTCGCGGGGAAGGGGGCAGCCGGCCGGCTGCAGCGGGGCCGGGGGCGCTCATGGCGGGCGGGGGAGCCGGGGACCCGGTCCTGAGGACGGCGGCGGCCGCCGCGCCCGAGACCCGCGAGCACCTCTTCAAGGTGCTGGTCATCGGCGAGCTCGGCGTGGGCAAGACTAGCATCATCAAGCGCTACGTCCACCAGCTCTTCTCCCAGCACTACCGGGCCACCATCGGGGTCGACTTCGCTCTCAAGGTCCTCAACTGGGACAGCCGGACGCTGGTGCGCCTGCAGCTCTGGGACATCGCGGGTAAGCGGCGGGCGGCGGCCTCGGTCGCGGGCCGACGGCCCGTGGGCTCCACACGGTCTCCTGCCCTCTTGCTGTGTCCCGAGCCTGCTGCGCTCGCCTGCTCAGCGGGAATGAAAGAGACTAACTCAAGTGGCCACACGGGCAAGGGACGTGGCTGGGTGTACTCCGGTGGGATCACGACGATGGAATGGGCAGTAGTAGTTGAAGGATTTAATTAAAAGCAGGACAAGATCGATAAATGCATCAGTAAAAATCCCTGGTTAGATTACTCTTAAGTCTGCAGAAAGCATGCATTTTTAAGAGGTGGAAAAGCGGCCCTCCACTCCAGTGCGTGCGCTCCGCCTCCTCCCTCTCTCTCGCTCTCCCTCCCTCCCCCTCCCTCCCCTCGCCGGAGGTGAAACAGCCTTGGGGGCTTTTCCTGGAGTTTTATTTATTTATTTTTTTTAATGTTTTATTTATTTCTAGGAGAGAGAGAGAGAGACAGCATGAGCAGGGGAGGGTCAGAGAGAGAGGGAGTCACAGACTGAAACAGGCTCCAGGCTCTGAGCTGGCAGTCAGCACAGAGCCCGACGAGGGGCCCGAACCCAAGAACCCATGAACCGCGAGATCATGACCTAAGCGAAAGTCGGACGCTTAACCGACTAAGCCACATCTGAACGGTGACAAGTTATAATACCGGAGGAAGAGTTAGGAGGAGGGGCCAGCGCCTCTCAACCAGATTTAACATTTCACAGGTGAGCACACAAGTTGAATGATTTCCCCCAAAGCAACCCTCCTACTTAGTGACACAAGCCGACTTAGCAACCAGGTTCCTTTTCAGAATGTTTTTCATCCCCCACCTTGGATCTGAGACCCTTCTTTCTGAGTGAAATTCTGTTCTTCAGGTAGGGTGATCATCTCCTAGGTGAGTCCTTAACACCCCCTCCCCCAGGTGAAGGTTTGGGAAAGTTACTCTTGAATCCTCTCTCCCTCCTTAAACCAACACCTAACCGCACTCCTGGCCCCCGTCCCATCCCAATATATTGTTTCCCTGGGATTTGCTTTCAGTTGACAATTTGGGAGCATAATATCCCTCTTTGAGGTGGGGAGGGTGTGCATATTCTCCTTGCCCTAATTTATGAGAATGTGAGCTCTGTCTGGTGGGGTGGGTGGAGTGTGGCATTTAAAAAGACGCTATCTTTTGGAAAGTTTACATATGGAAGCGATACCAAAAGTTGCCCTGTTCAATCATTGTTGGTAAGAAGCTCAGTCTGCAATAGAGAATTTGGATGGGAGAATGTTCAGAGCGAGAGACCATCCTTCACGCTGGTGCACGCTACAGATGCATCAAATGTAGAAGATATGGTCACCCTGCTGGCAACTGTGGGGGGGGGGGAGGGGGAACAGATCTGTCTGCTAGGCAATGTTCTTTTCACCAAAATAGCTTATTATGTATGAAAAGTATTGAAGAATTAACCTATGTATATTAACCTATATACTCACTTATTCAAGAACAGACTTTCTGCCTCAGATATGCTAATAAATTTATGTATGTCAGTGCCTCAGAGAAAAGAGAATAATCTGCCCTGGGCTCAGCGCCCCCCCCCCCTTTTTTTTCCTTTTTGGTTACAGAAAACCAAAAGTCCGTTTGAAAAGTCATCTTTTGAAGTCAGGCTTATTTTGAAATACTTCCTGCTGTTTCACACAACACTTATGAATAGTAGTATTGCCTCTTAACAAAGTCATAAATTCTAAAGGTTGTCTTTCCATGTGATAGTCATTCTGCAGGAATCTTCACTGTCCCTGCAGATTTCTATGAAAATTTTACACTCCCCCACCGAGGAAGGTTGTTGACTTTGCCTTATTCTTCTTGCGAAATAATATCATATTTAGCTATTAAATTATGATTGGATCTCACTGCAGGTAAATAAAAGATTTGGCACATTTGTGTTTTTAAGCTTCAAGCAAAAATGCTTATATTTGGAGACTCGGGAAAGCCAAATCATGAGTAATTTTCTCCCTGGGTATCACTTCTTTTTTTGTCCACCTTGAACAGACCTATGCAGTCAGGAAGGAGACATAATCTGTATTGTCAGACTCTGGTACATATTGGCCTAGATGGAATGTGTTCACACTTTCGCCTAAATGCAAAGGTTGAGCCTTGCCAGGACAGAAAGCAGAATTTTAAGATCTCTAAAAGGATTCCTGGATGTTCAATACCATTCAGCAAGTACACACCAGCTGTTAAAATGATTAGAGGTAAACTAATGAGGTAGTTGGAAATTACGAGGCCCACCTTATAAATAAGATTTTCAGAGACGGAATCTTAATATATAAGGAAATTCACAGAGAAATAATTTTGCTTTCACTTGGGGCTTAGGAAGCTACATCATTAACTATGTTTGCTTTTCATACTTGACCTATGAGTGAATCCTAGTTCATACCATTCGAATTAAGTAGTAATGATGTAATGAAGGCAAACTGAAGGCCACTCCAAAAAGTTCCCCGTGGCTAAACATATTTGCCTTATGTAGTTACAACACTGAATCATCTTTAATTCTCAAAGTTTAGAAATACTCCTAGATTGTGAAACGGTAGGTAGAGCTGGCCAGTTGATATGACTAACTTAAGGCGCGGCCCTGTTACTAGTTTTTTTGTTATTGTGTCAGAGATGAGAAGGATGGTAAAGGACTTATGTTGGGTCTCTATACTTGGAAACTTTGGCAAGGGGAACAGGGAGGAGTTGTTCAAATGTTTTCCATAAATGTGGCTAGACAGTTGATGCTAAACTTTTCATATTAGAAACCAGAGAGACTCTGGGGTACAAGCCTCCCAAATGCTTTCCAATTCCATCAGATAAATGTAGCTGCAAAATACCGGTGCAGCTTGATACAATTTTTGTGTTAGGCAACTGTCTCTTACCTCATGCCTGTTTGAAGATGACTCTTAATACGGGACTGAAATATACTATGCTACTGAAGTCTTCAGTAAGCTTTTAAGAAAGTTTAATAAATTAAGAGGTAGGAAGAGATGTCTCTGATCTTCCTTTTGTTGTTACATAAATAAACCCATTTATTATAGGCCAGCGATGTATTAAATACTGGTCTCTCGGGGCGCCTGGGTGGCTCAGTCGGTTAAGCATCCAACTTCAGCTCAGGTCATGAACTCATGGTTCGTGGGCTTAAGCTCTGCGTTGGTCTCTGAGCTGACAGCTCAGATTCTGTCTTCCTCTCTCTCTTTCTCTGTTCCTCCCCCACTTGTGTTTGCTCTCTCTCAAAAATAAATAAATAAAACATCAAAAAATATTTTAAATAGTGGTCTCTCAATGCCTTCAGCTGTCTGGCGGCTGTGATGGTAAAAGTGGTGCTGTAGGGCCAGGCATCACCAGCTTCTTTTTGCATAGGAACGACAGTGCTGGATCCCACAGCCCATCTTTTCATCTTGGTTGCCATGGAAGGAGCAAGTGTACTTGGCATACTGGCTTCTATCAATTTTTCACCATATTCCTGACGGGTCCTGCATTTACGGATGATTTCAACCTTCTCAGTGCATTTAGCCATGTCACTGCAAACTAGAACGTTTCCCAGAGCAGAACCTGATCCACCTTTTAATATGCATTATAGATGAAGTAGTATTTGGCTTACTACTTATTATAAGATTATTGGCAAGTATAGAATTTTCCAGGTAGGTTGAATGACTGGTTGAGGCTATGTCTTTAAAAGAAAAAACAAGTTTGGGGCACCTGGGTGGCTCAGTCAGTTAAACATTTGACTCTTGGTTTTGCTCATGATCTCACAGTTTGTGAGTCCGGGCCTCACGTGGGACTCTGTGGGCAGTGTGGAGCCTGCTTGGGATTCTTTTTCTCCTCTCTGCCCCTCCCCTCAAAATAAATAAATAAACATTAAAAAAAAAAGAAAGAAAGAAAAAACAAGTTTGTCCATTTAGATCTAATATAATCCAGTCTTCCTGTATTTGGTGAAGTGATTTGTTTTTGTAGGGGAGACAAAACTATACCTTCTTAGAGTTTTCAGCAGAGCCTGAAAATTAAAAAAAAAAATTAAATCCTAGACAGATTAACAACAGAAATTTATGTCACCTAAGATTTACCGGACACAGGAGTCTTCATAAGAAAATGAACATCCAAAGAAATGACAAAACCTAAGTGTTTATACCAAGTTGAACAAAGAGAGGGCATTGTGGAAAAATAAGTAAAATATATGGGGCGGCTAAAGGAAGATAAGTTATTTTGTAACGTCTGTTTAGAGAGAATTCTCCCAGCTTCAGCTCCTGTCCCTGGTGATAAGATGTTTCTTTCCTCCTGGTAGAGAGAGGACATCTCTCACGTGGGGGTTTTCTCATCTGCTTTCAGGAAGAAAAAAGAGAGATGAGAGCCCCATTCGGGCACCTGCTCTGTTTTAAGTATCTTTAGTTAAAAATAATCCTTATGCCAAAGTGGTGTTTTGGGGGGCTGGTCTCTTCTGCCACCCTTCACTTTTTTAGGATTAGTATTTCCGTATAAAGATCTGAGTAAAAATCTTCTGTAAAAAACAAAACAAAACAAACTTTGGACCAAAGAACAAATCAGGAACATTCTACTCTGAAGTTCACGTAAATAGTATTTACCAAAGTATAAAATGCATGGTTGGAAGACATTATCAATTATATAAACTATACTTAGATTCACTTTAGTTTTGATTCCCATCCTAAATTAGAATGTTGGTTCTGCTTTTCTTGTTTCATCTTCCACAGCTGGCGGTCACTGTACCTCATGACCTCTTCTTGTCTTTCTTAACTCTCCTCCGGCCCTCATGAGTGAGAATCTGGAATATTTTCTCCAACTTTCTTGACCTTCAAAGTATCTATTCATCGAGAATTATTAATATTCAGGGTTTTTTTTTTTTTCTAAACATACAGAAGAAGTGCTCTGAGGAATTAGTCTATGGTGATTTGTAGTCTTCATCTTCACCACTTTCCAATTACTTAATAACTCATTTAAAGGGATTCCTACAATCTTCATTATG